TACAATGGTTGGCAGGTGGTTTACAACAACACACGATTTTACACGTTCTTTCATACACGAGCTCACATATTTCTTCAGCTAACAATACCTCCAGTCCTCTGAAAAATTCCCGAATGTTTAGACTGTGTTCTCATTCGCTAGAACTCTTGTTTGTGTGCTCAAACATTAGTTCGAAGTCATCGTATCCTGGGAAACGATTGTTGCAACGCTCCTAGCACCATGAGAGGCAACAAATGCGTAGCACGAGCTTTGACTAATTTCTGCTCCATCTTATTTCTGTTTTCTTTCGTCATTTTAATTAATTTTCTTTATTTTCCGAAACACACCCAACAAAATACTATGAGGTGCTCTTAGTCAAAGGACCTCCGGACCGTCTTTCTTTTTTGTTTCCAATCATCCTGCCGCCAGAAAGTCTACTGGAAAAGTGATACTAACGAATGCGTTTTTGGTAGATAATCCAAATAGAACTAAAAAATCCAAAGAGAACGATAGTTTGTTGGTCTCTTTGACGAGGAACACCTCCCACTATTTTTTCTATTAATATTTCGGAGACTTTTGAAAATCGGAGTTAATTTTTCTAACGGGGTTAGACTTCATGCCCTGTTGTGATAACGGAATTGAAACACATGTCCCACTTTGTTAAAAAATGAAACTTGTATCCCTATCTGAAAACAGTTCAAACCACATATATTTTTTGTACTTCTCCTAAGAAACAAATTACATAATCCAAAAACCAAGCTTAATAAGTGACACTTTCTCAATAAGAGATTACCTTATTTTAAAAAACAACTATTTCATCTGTTCCACTATTTATCCGTCCTTCCAGCTAAATTTGTCTTATGTCATATTTGATAATATATGTGTAGTTTCTAATTCATTCATACATCAGTTTCACTTTATCAATTTATTAGCAACCACATAACTCTACTTCTTTTAAAAACTGCACCACTCTCTTTTGTCCCAATAATTGGGGGACGAAGATAATACATGACACTAGACCAGTAGTGATACTTTGACGTCTCAAATTATAATCATACTCCGTACAAAATTGCATTCACAATAGTTTCTTGAATTTGATGCATTTGTTGTTGTTGAAGCATATCAAATTGGATGGTTTCATTTTCACGAACACAACTAAAGAAATGGATTAGTACTTTATACGGAGCAGTTTTTAAGTAAAAAGTACGGAATACTTCATTCGGAGTACTCCCTCTGTCCCTAAATGTTGTTCCAACTTTCCTTTTTAGGCTGTCCCAAAAAGAAGTTCCACTTTCTATATTAAGAAACTTTTTGAATTGAAATTACCTCATTACCCTCCTAATTAATTTTCATCCACCCCCATTTATTACCCCACCCAACCCGTTCTCGCACCTTCTCTCTTTATTGTCATCATTCCTTCCATCTGTATTCATCTCTTTTCTCGCACCCTCTCTCTCCATTCTTTCATTACTCCTCTGCTCCATCTGGAAAACTCTCTCCATCTCTCTGGATCCATCCGCAGTCATCCCACTCACACACCCACATAAAGCTTCAAATACTATAATGGCCGAAAGTTCGTCTGATCTGTGCATGCACGGTGATTTGAATGGTGTGGTGGTTGAGGACTCCGAGGATTCTTCCGGGTGGGCCGATTCCGTACGTGAGACTGGCATCCTTGCCGATTTGGTCCCTGAGGACGAGATCTTGCCCGAATTTGTCCCTGAGGCTGAGATCTCGCCGAAAATTGTCCCTGAGGCTGAGATCTTGCCGGATTTCATCCCGGATTCTGAGCTCCAGTTGGTCCCGGTTTCTGAGGGCGTAGAAAAAATGAAAGGACCAAAACGGTTGAGAACTGACCAAAGAGGTGAATCCTCCAATGAAAGTTGGATTGACATCTACCTTCGGCCAGTGGATACAACAAATGTGGGGTATGTTCCACCTGCGACCGCTCATGTTGACCCGGACCCTAAAGTTCAAGAAAGATTGGAGGATCTGGCTTCAATGTGGCTGCCTCTTTACAAAAAACCAAGGTGATAAGTTCCACTTGTTGCATGCATGTATTACTGTGAGTATTTGTACTCACGAACGGATGGGTAATTGTTGTTCACTTTACTGGCTGCATGCGTGAATGATACCTACAATTAATGTTCACTTTACTGCCTCTATGCCTAAATGATGCCTATAAGTGATGTCTTTTATGCCTAATTCATGTTGTATACATGTTGTGTATGTTACTCAATCTGTCCCTGAATTTACATTCCATTTTGACTGAGCACACTGATTAAGAAAATGTATTGACTGATAGCCTATTGTTAAGTGTTGCCTAATTGCTTGTATGCCTATATGATGTTGACCTAACTGTCCCTTAGTCCAAATGATGCTTGAAATGGGCCTATAACTGATGGGCTAATTAGGGGGCAGTTAAGATGTTGACTCATTCCTTTGGGTAATTTGTGATGCATGAATACTGTGTAATGCTTACTGTGATGACTGAAATCCTATTGTTAAGTGTTGCCTAATTGCTTGTATGACTATATGATGTTGACCTAACTGTCCCTTAGCCCAAATGATGCTTGAAATGGGCCTATAATTGATGGGCTAATTAGGGGCAGTTAAGATGTTGACTCATTCCTTTGGGTAACTGTAATGCTTGAATACTGTGTAATGCTTACAGTGATGACTGAAATCCTATTGTTAAGTGTTGCCTAATTGCTTGTATGCCTATATGATGTTGACCTAACTGTCCCTTAGCCCAAATGATGCCTCAAATGGGCCTATAACTGATGGGCTAATTAGGGGGCAGTTAAGATGTTGACTCATTCCTTTTGGTAACTGTGATGCTTGAATACTGTGTAATGCTTACAGTGATGACTGAAAGCCTAATATTGAATCCAAATGATGCTTGAATATGCATTTATAGATAATGACAGTGATGACTGAAAGCCTAATATTGAGTCCAAATGATGCTTGAATATGCATTTATAGATAATGACAGTGTCATGTTTGTGTACATATATTGTACCCCAAAACCCAAAATAACAAAACAAAAAAAAAAAACCACTAGCAAAAAAACCAAGACCCTGTGTATGCCAAAAACCCAAAAACCCAAAATGCAATAGCCAATATACCTTAGCCCTGTCTTTACCAAAAACCCAAAATGCAGTAGCCAATATACCTTAGCCCTGTCTTTACCCAAAACCCCTATACCCAGTAGCTACCTAAGCCTGGGTGTTACCAATGTCAAATACTTTCAGCACTTCCCTCACTGTTGTAGTGTCTGCTACATTTGAGATAGGTACTTCCCCATTACCATGTAACAAGTCCATCACTTCCCTCACTGCTGTAGTGTCTGCATTGAGAGAGAGATAGGCAGTTCCCCATTGCCATGTAAATGATCCTTTCCAATGTGAGGTAATCTGTAGTTGTTGTTACCTTTAGCAGTTAAGATCTCATTCATACACGTCTGCAATGATAGCAAACCTTGTTCAAAGTATACAGACTCAAGTCCTAATAAGCTTGGGTCACCAATGCCACTAACTCTGACACTGTAGTACTTGGTGTTGCATGTTGTAGGGACTGAATTGATAGAATTTGTCGTACGAGTCTGTGCACATTTGTTTTGGGACAGCCCATTGCAGATGCCGGATTTCTTATGGTCTGCCTTTTGTGAAGATCAATATCCTTAAAGTCAAGTGTAGGTAGTGTTAAAGGTTTCCTACCACATTTTGCAACAAACGGTCTGTCAACATTTATAGGTACACCATCCCTTAGTGATTTCCTTACTTGTCCCCAAATACGTGTGATGTAACTTACTGAGACTTTATGTTCTTCAGATAATGCAGCTTTCAGTCCGTCGGCCAGCATGCCATCTGAGAAATTGGTGAGAAGATCCTGCAAGATCTTGTGCTTTGCTTCGTTGCACAACCTTTTTTTTGCTTGTTTCCCCATTTTCAGAAACTTCCATGTTGTATTAGTGATGTTGTATGCAGATCTATTGTAAAATCCGTATGTTTATATAGAGGGTTGACATATTTTAAGTGTTCAAAAATTTTAAAGTGGAGGGAAATCTGAAAAGGCCCGCCAGCAGCCAAATAACCCCAAAAAAGTTTTCAGCCTACTTTTACTGTACATAGTAGACTGCCCCCATCCCTCTTTATTTCCCATTATTTTGTGCGGTAATTAAAAGAGGGGCAAAGGAGGAAAGTCAATGACAAACGGTACTTTTTCTTAATCAGTGTGCCGAGTCAAAATGGAGCAACATTAAGAGATGGAGAGAGTACATTTTTTGCTATAGTTAAAGCTACAACCGTAGCAAAAAGTGTTGTAAAAAGTTTAAATATTACTTCGTATTTATTTAAAGTTTATACTACGTATGTCCTATTCGAGCAAATTTTTCTAATGTTACAAATTACTCCGTATTTCGTTATATATGGATCATGTAGATAAAATTGAAAATAATACTCCCTCCGTCTTGTCCCTAAATGTTGTTTCAATTGCGGATTACGAATGTTGACCGACGATAAAGTTAAATGATCCCCTGTGAAAACTCGGATTATTTTTAGTAAATAAAATTTACATATTCAGAAACTACATTAAACCCGCTACAAAGCCTGCAAAAAATAATTCAACTTTCATAAAATTTTGATATAAAAAGTAAGAGTTTAAGAGTGATTTAAGTTGATCCTCGATAAACGAAATGAGACTTCTTTTGAGGACAGAGGGAGTACTCCGTAACTAACAACATTTTTTTTCATTATTAAATCAATTAAAAGCTTGAAAAAAGAGAAGAAAAGGAGGAGAGAACAGTAGAGCACACTGGGTTTTCCCTTGGCTAGCGAGTGAACCGGTTCTCTCTTTTATACGGAGCACTATCGTATATCCGATCCTAATCTGGTTTATGGAGCATAATTTGATTTTGGTTTAATGAAATTATGAAAATCTTAATTGCGAATTAATTGCTTGAAATTCATAATAATTGCACTGTCCGCAAAATGAGGCCACCTCTGTCGCATGCATAATTACTTATCTCATCCTATTCCTATATTTCATCATCACACTTCCATCACCATTTATGCTTCCTCCTTCCTTACCTTCCTCCCATAAAAGCAAAACAAAACAAATCTTACGTTGCAGAAAATTATCCGTTTCATCATCTGATCTATTGCAGGCATACAATTCAGTCAGGCGATGTCATCTTACAAGAAGAAGATTGTCCTCAGCAGTGTTGCAGTGAAGCTAGGCTGCGGCAGCAGCTGCAGAAGGCCCAAACTCTCTGCCGTCTTCGTCCCCAAACCACGGCGGCGCCACCACAAACCCGCCGCCGCCGCATCCACCTCCACGGCGCCAAACTTCTCCAACTACTCCTCCAGCTCCTGGGACACCACCACCACCACATTCTCTCCGGCGAACTACTCCTCCGACGCCGACTCCGAGATCAAGAGCCTCAGAGCCGTGCACGGCTTCGGAAGGGTCGGCGGGGAGAGCGTCGCCGTCGAGAAAGACTCCGACGACCCTTACCTCGACTTCCGGCAGTCCATGCTGCAGATGATCCTCCAGAAAAACATCTACTCGAAAGATGACCTGAAAGAGCTTCTCAACTGCTTCTTGCAGCTCAATTCCCCTTACTACCACGGCGTCATTGTCAGAGCCTTCACGGAGATCTGGAATGGGGTCTTCTCCGTGACGCCGCCGGTGGCACCGCACGGCGGGGCCGCCCCGGAGTGGATGTCACGTGGCTTTTAGGCAACGCACGTGATATCATATGTGGGCCCACACTGCTTATCAATAAAGTTGTGTCCATCAAACTGTAGCTGGTGAAAGTAGATTCTCGGGGGTAGTATGGTAATTGTCGTTCCCACAAAATATTACGCGTGGGACTCCTCTATAGTGTGCTTGATGAAGCACTAATTAATTAATGCACTGTTAGAGTGTAGGATTTAATGATTCCTAGAAGATCAGATAAGCTTAGTTGTTCTATTTTCACAGCCTTTTTTCCCACCTAATAGGGTTTAGAGGATGGAAGTTTTTGTTATTATGTTCGTTGAGTGGTTAAAAATGCTGTGAAAATTGTAACCCGTAAGCGTATTGTTGTGTTATTATTATGTAATGTAATGTTACTTTGAATTTCTCTAGGCTCTAGCTCTAAAGATCACTCATTCATTGTATTATATATTAATTGTTTATTTACAATATTTTGGTTGAAGTTCGAAAAATAAATAAATTTTACGGTATTTAAGAGTATTGTAGAATTTACTTTGACGGTATTACTTTTAAAAAAGGTCACGTAATTTTATTTTAGCAAAACAGTTGAAAGCAACATTGAGGTTTCTTTTAGGGCAAATTGGTCCTTGACACTTTTTGAAATTTAGTAATTTTTATTTTTTGTTAATGGGTTTAAATTAAGGGAAATTTGATTTTACATTCCACTTTTTTGGTGATATTGGACTTTGCACTCATTTTTTAAAAAAAATTGTTTTTGCACGTCACTTAAAATTCCTTTGATTTTGCATCCCATTTATAAATTTTTCTTCACAAAATGTTTTGTGTAAGGATGCAAAATCAAAGTTTTTTTTAAATGGAGTGCAAAGTCCAATATCACCAAGAAGTGGAGGTGCAAAGTCAAAGTTTCCCTTAAATTAACAATGACGGAGTATCATTTTTACCAAATACTACGTAAGTAATTTTCTGTTAAGATCCCACACCGTCAAGTATGGGCTTGGCCGGTGGCTTATAAGCAATGTGTTCCCCCCTCCTAATCGGATGGTCTTTTAGGAGTGAGTTCTACACATGAGCTTATGGCACTGCTACGAGCCTAGTATGGGCTAGGTCCGTAACAATTGGTATCAGAGCCGTCCCCATCTTTCTAGTCCCGACACTCGGAGTGGTGGCCTATAGAGTGGTGGCTTGAGCCTTGGGGGGTGCCAACCGTGATCAACATAGCCGTGACCAACGAGGATGTTGGCTCTTCGAAGCATGAGGTAATGTTAAGATCCCACACCGGTCAAGTATGGGCTTGGCCGGTGGGTTATAAGCAATGTGTTCCATCTCCTAATCGGCTGGTCTTTTAGGAATGAGTTTTACACATTGGCTTATGTCACTGCTACGGGCCTGGTATGAGCTAGGTCCGTAACATTTTCCTTGGGGTTTTGAATTTGAGTATTACTAAAAAGTAGATAATGGATAAAAAGGTGATTTTAGTGTCACTAATTAGCATTAAACGTACTAAATTATTCTTAATTTGACCTTTTCTAATAGTGACATGATATGCCACAATGACCACTGACATAGTGACCTCCTCCACAGTTACAGTTGTCGACCAGTGATCGGTAGGCTCGGTAGCCACAATGGCACAGCGAATTCGGCCAGAGTGACACAATGACTCAGACCACAATCATCCCGCCACAATGAGTCCACCACCGCAAGTCACAACCACCACCCACCAACCCTCAGCCCTCCGGCCATCAATGCCGCTCTGATGACCCATCACGATCATTGACCCTGTTGCTGCTAGGGCACCACCCTTCTTGCCAAAGCGCCCTACCTCACCGGCCCAGTCTCTCCTTTTCTTCTCCCGCCCCCCAGTCCCCACAGCTATAAGTCACAAATCCGCAGCCAAACACTAGACTCATATGCTAACCTAGATGTCGTCATCGTTGAACCCTAACAACGTCATTTAATAACCTAGCTAGAATCCACCATCAAGCGAAACCGTGATTCATAGTCACCGCAATCGATTCTTCGAGAACCGTCTCTTTCACCAAATCGACAATTTCACAATTTTTACATTTGATGAGTTGTCGCTATCACGTACTATATTTGAAGAAATGGGATAGAAGACGATGAAGGTCGGACAGAAGATAGATTGAACATACCTGACAGTAACTTGTAACTAATATTTTAGTCATTCTTTCGTTGGCCAAAAGGAAAGCTTGAAGGGGAAGTTGGGAAATCCAACATTTTTATGCTTCTAGTGTCTTACGAAAATACTTCTTACACAGACTACCGAATCTTAAAGTAACTCCAACATCTTAGTAGTTTCATACATCTGATCCCTTAAATAGTGCGATTAACATAACTGTCAACAAGTAAGATAATTTTAGCAAATCTTTAAGCTTCGAATGCCAAATTGTAACCTTTTTATTATTATATTAAATTCATACTCAATTCAAGATTTCTTTTTTACTTATTTCTCTATTTAATTAGTCATGTCTAGATTTTTTTTAAAAAAAAATAGTCATGTCTAGATTAAGATCTTTGTTTATAGTAAGTGATTTTTCTATATGAAACTGTTTAATTATGTACAAAATAAACATGAGAGGGAATTGACTTAATACAAACATTATAATAATGACTCAAAAAATGTTTGTAAAGACACTTTTATAGGGGTTTTAATGATAAGGAATTGGCTTAATAATTAAGTCTCCATTTTTGGGAAAATGATTAAATAATACTGACGCTCTAGGTCATGATAAGTAATGCGGAGTATGATCGTGTATTCAAGTCTCAAGTCGACTTGGAGTTCGTATATGGTACATCCGGCTGTACGGTGAGCACCGTACAGCCGGCCCAATAACAGGTCCAAGGGAAAAATAGCTAAATAATTCGGTGGCATTTTTGTAATTAATGTAAAATCGTGGTTTCTGCTAAATGAGCATTAGTGTATTGGTAATGAGCAATAGTCCAATTTTAATGAGTATTAAGCGTCTAATAATGAGCACCGTGTTATTACAAAAAAGCTGTTATCAAAACTAAAAAACGGTGGCATTTTCGTAATTTTAGTGAAAATCACGGTTTTCGTTAGATGAGCATTAATACACTTTTAATGAGCATCAGACGTATTATACTGAGCATTAAGAGTTACTAAATGAGTATTGTCATATCAACTTCATAGAGGTAATTCACTTTATTTTTCTTATTTTTTCTTTTATAAAAACCCATTAAATTATATCTGTAATCAATTCCTATAGATTTTAATATGTGAATCTATTGTAATATAGTACTTTTGAAATATGTATTGTTATGACATTTTAAAAATGAGCACAACATGAGTACTAATTGAACATATGTAAATTACAAAATGAGCATTGATATGAAACTCATAAGTTTTTTGTTGAGCATCGCGACAATTTTGTTGAGCCTCAAACCTCCTATATTGAGTATTAGAAACATGCAATTAAATATCATGGTCCGTGATACAATATCTATAATCAACTCCATGAATCTAATGTAATATGACACTTTTGAAATATGCATTGACATAACATTTTAAAATGTGCATACTATCAGTATCAAATGAGCTTACATAATTTACCAAATGAACAATGATATGAAAATGACAAGCTTTGTTAGTTGATCTTCAAAACATTTTCATTGAATATCAAACATCCTCTATTGATTATCATAAGCATACAATTGAGTATCATGATTTAAAAATGATTATCGAAAAATTTAAAAGCTCGTTTGAATTCTGTAATGTGTTCAAATGTTTATTTGTGCATATTTAGTTTACACTATACTCATTTTAATGTAATACAAAACTCATGTTTGTAATTGACACACAATATTTAATAACTAATAAATACTGTACTTATCTTAAAAGTAAAAATAGAAAAATAAAACATTTATATTTAAATATTTTACGATGAACAAATAAAAAATGATGTAGAAAGATGATTTTAAAAAGGAGAAAAAAAACTCGACACCATATTAATATTTTATATTTTAAATTTTTTGAATAAAAATTAAAGCAAAAGGCTCTTGAATTAAAAAGTAAAGAAAAAGAAAAAAAGAAAACAACAAGTAAAAGCTAACCTAGAAACGTACGAACGAAAAAAATAAAAGAAAAGAAAGCAGAGCAAAGAACTGTGTGCGGCTGAGAGAAAGCACGGACAGCCGGACAGGGACGATGACCGAAGAACGAATCGGAGAAAGCAGAGCACCTTAGATATAAGCCTGGAGGTTCAATTTAATTTCAAAAATACCCGGCTGTACGGTGCTCACCGTACAGCCGGTTGTACGGTATAATCTACGGTCGACTTGCGAGTATGGGACGTAGTGTTTAAAACTACTCCGTATTTTATATTTATATGTCTAAAACTCTTTTGTTATGTTACTTAACATGAAAAAACTCACAACTAATCTATTTTATCACAGTTAAATCGCGATTAATTGATGTGAATATAGAATCACCTCAAATAAGACTAAAACTATGTCAAAAACTCAAAATAGGACTTGTTATGTTTTTATTCCAAAATAGGACTATAGTGGTCCTATTGGAAACATACTCATTTCTTCCTTCCATTCTTACCCTCCTTTAAATATTAGTAAAAGATAGCTAAAATTCATAATTAAATGTTTAATTCATAATAAATCCGAAAAAATTTCAATAATTCGTAGAAAAAAAAATTATAAAATAAAAAATAAGAATTTTTTTTTTAAATTTTTTTTAAAATTAATAAAAAATAGTAAAACTCCATTAAAATATTAAAAAAATATGGATCCCTTTCTCACTGCCTGTACTACCTCCCTGAACCACCACCTCTGATCGGTGTAAAAAATGCCACTTTTTTTAAATTCCACAAAAATGGCATATTTCTCTATGAGAATGCCAACATTTTCATTCTGCCAACTTGAATCCTTTTGACTTTTGCCAAAAATATGGCATTCATAATTTTTTTTTGGCATTTTTTACCCCGGTGACAGGAGGTGGTGGTACCGCCTCCCTGCACCACCACCTCTGACCGTTAAAAAAATGTCATATTTCCTACAAACTTCTATTTTTTTTCGGAAAATGCCAAAAATATGGCATATTTCTCTTTGACAATGCCATATTTTTTTTTCTGCCATCTTAAATCATTCTGAATTATGCCAAAAATATGGAATTCATAATAAATTTGGCATTTTTTCCCCAAATGACTAGAGGTGGTGCTGCTGGGGCAGCAGAGGCGGTGACAATTTTTTTTTTTGATATTTTTTTTGATTTTTTTTAATTTTTTTTATTTTTTTAATTTTTTTTAATTTATTATTATTCAAAATATTTTTATTAATTTTTTGGTATATTTTACTAATTTTTATTATTTTTTATTATTTTATTATGAATTAAAACATTCCAATAGTTATAAGGGTATATTTGTCCAAGACACACATAA